GCATATAAAATTCAACTAAAAGAAATATAGTGTAAGATGTTAACAATCTATTTCTAATTTTAGTTTTTATCAGCCTGTATTAAAAAAATWTGTTGAACAGAAAAATTCCATGGATGAGACTATTCCAAGCAGTAGAATATGTCTAATCTATGATTCTGAGACCAAGTCTTTTGAGCAAAACTTATCAGCAAATGAGACAAGGACAAAAGCAGTCTCATCTCGTAAACTTGGAGAGCAGCATGACCTATCATAAAACTGTAAACAGACATACTCTACACAGGAAAATTATGTTACATCTAATGATCACATCTCAGAGGATCTATGATTAAGTCTTATTTTCCAAAACAGTGACTAAAGCTTCACTTTGCACTTTGCACTTATCATATGATTTTTTTTCTGTCTCACCACTAAACAGCCAACTTAATCTACTTTAAAGGAAGTCAGTGAGCTATTAATCATCACACCACTTCCAAAGAACCATGTGAGAACACAGTTTGGAGTGTTTGAGTGCACCACGGTTTTAGCCCACTCCTGTTGTGGGTGAAAATATGCCTTCATACCACTTGTGGTTTTAGAAGAAAGCTTGAGCTTCAAGRAAGTTAGTGTCGTCAGTCATTCACCAAAACGGTTGCCACATTTATGATGTTTAAGTTAMTGAAATATTTAAATGAGTTCAACATGAGCCATCACAGGTACATTTTTGTATTAATATCACTGGAACATCACATCAACAGAAAACAGGGGTTGACATAAACGTTATTTAGGTTGTCCGAGACCACCTATATTCATTTCAGACAACCAGATCCCGCCTCTTGGTTGTACATTGATATACATCTCTCATATAGCTTGGATCACATTTATTGGCAAACGTCCAAATATGCAAATTAAGTGATAATGTCATCTAGCAGCTTCTAGCCGACTTTAGGACAGCCAATGTCTACTTTTCTTACTGAGGAGTTGGCAACAGTGTTTCCTTTCAATTAAAATGGAAGTTTGGATCTTTATGAACAAAACTTGACTAATCATCTCATAATTTGTGTAACATATTTTCTTTCACAAGCCAGTAGACATATTTTGACACCACTTGTCAATTATAACAATGTAGACCTATGGCTCAGGCTGTAAGGAAGCACATTTAACATAACATTTATTTTCATTCCAATAACAGCAGTCCTACCTGTCTTGGAGTTAATGGCAAAGAAGCCCTGGGGATTGCCACTGGTGATCCTGTAGGTGAGTTTATCACTGGCCTTGGTATCTGGATCAACTGCATTTATCTGGATGATTGACACGTCTTTTGGTGAGTTCTCCATGACAGAGGGGTAATACACAGGTTCAGAGGTTTGCGGTGCATTGTCATTGACATCCTGGACTTCAATGAAGACTTCAACGAAAGAAGACAAGGGCACCACACCACGATCCATTGCATAGACTGTTAGCCAGTAATGAGGTGTTGTCTCATGATCCAGCAGTTCTTGTGTTCGAATCACACCTAAAAGAAAGAAAAAGATAATAAATAGCCTGCATCATGTTAAAGAATGTTTTTAAGCACAAGTGACCGACTTCCTAAAGTGCTGGTGATCTCTAAAACCAATTTCTACTCGTAAAGAATGATGAGGAAAAACAGCTGTTGTACTGATCAGTCAAAGAGCTCCTTCTTGATATAGAAAAATGTCAAGGTGGTACATTAACAAGTACCAGCCGATGTTTTCCTGTTTACATTTCACTACAGTGCGGGAGTTCTAACATTCAGCTGAGCAAACAAAACAGCTTTCAAACACAGACATATGAGTACTGCAAGTTGACAATGGTTAAAAAGCGTGGTGAAAGAGAAGATCCTGTAAACTGAAAAAAATATGATTGTCTCTATGACACTGTGTTGGACAGAGACATGCTTGACTGATGCAGTGCATGGATACTTGAAAATGACCAGCAGTATAAAAGGTGCCTTTTGATCTTTTATAGGAAAAGCTAACAGAAATGCTCACACCAGTGAATTTCTTTTGCTTTAGTGCTTTTTTTTTCTCTGTTCAGTTCCACTTGCAGACACTCATCAGATGCTCATTTGGCACAAAGCAGAGCAGGATGGGAAAAGTGTGTGTTTGCAGGAGAAGACGCTTCAGTGTATCAGAAATACAAGCCTGTTTCACTTCATGATTCAGTTACAGTGGTTTGCAAAAGTATTCATACCCCTTGAACTTTTCCATATTTTGTCACATTACAACCACAAACATAAATATATTTCACTGGAATTTAATGTSAAAGACCAACACAAAGTGGTATACAATTGTGAAGTGGAAGCAAAATTTTACATGAATCAAAACATTTTTTACAAATAAAAAACTGAAAAGTGCGATGTGCAAAATTATTCAGCCCCCCTGAGTCAATACTTTGTGGAGCCACCTTTTGCTGTAATTACAGCTGCAAGTCTTTTAGGGTATGTCTCCACCAGCTTTGCACATCTAGTGACTGCAATTCTTGCCCATTCCTCCTTGCAAAACAGCTCAAGCTCAGTCAGATTGGATGGAGAGCGTTTGTGAACAGCAGTTTTGAGATCTTGCCACAAATTCTCAATTGGGTTTAGGTCTGGACTTTGACTGGGCCATTCTAACACATGAATATTCTTTTTTTTAAACCACTCCATTGTAGCTTTGGCTTTATGTTTAGGGTCCTTGTCCTGCTGGAAGGTGAACCTCCGCCCCAGTCTCAAATCTTTTGCTGACTCCAACAGGTTTTCTTCCAAGATTGCCCTGTATTTGGCTCCATCCATCTTCCCATCAACTTTGACCAACTTCCCGGTCCCTGCTGAAGAGAAGCACCCCCAGAGCATGATGCTGCCACCACCATATTTGACAGTGGGGATGGTGTTTTCAGAGTGATGTGCAGTGTTCTTTCTCCGCCACACATAGCGTTTTGCATTGTGGCCAAAAAGTTCAATTTTGGTCTCGTCTGACCAAAGCACCTTCTTCCACATGTTTGCTGTGTCCTCAACATGGCTTCTGGCAAACTGCAAACGGGACTTCTTATGGTTTTCTTTTAACAATGGCTTTCTCCTTGCCACTCTTCCATAAAGACCACATTTGTGTAGTGCACGACTAATTGTTGTCCTGTGGACAGTTTCCCCCACCTGAGCTGTGGCTCTCTGCATTTCATCCAGAGTCACCATGGGCCTCTTGGCTGCCTCTCTGATCAGTGATCTCCTTGTTCGGCCTGTAAGTTTAGGTGGACGGCCTTGTCTTGGCAGGTTTACTGTGGTGCCATACTCKTTCCATTTCCGGATGATGGATTGAACAGTGCTCCGTGAGATGTTCAAAGCTTGGGAAATCTTTTTATAACCTAAGCCTGCTTTAAACTTCTCCAAAACCATATTCCTAACCTGTCTGGTGTGTTCTTTGGACTTCATGATGCTGTTTGCTCCCCAATATTCTCTTAACCAACATCTGAGGCCGTCACGGAGCAGCTGTATTTGTACTGAGATTAGATTACACACAGGTGGACCCTTTTGAGTCATTAGCAGTCATCAGGCAACTTCTGAATGCAATTGGTTGCACTCAGGGAAAAGGGGGCTGAATACTTTTGCACGTCGCACTTTTCAGTTTTTTATTTGTAAAAAATGTTTTGATTCATGTAAAATTTTGCTTCCACTTCACAATTGTATACCACTTTGTGTTGGTCTTTVACATTAAATTCCAGTGAAATATATTTATGTTTGTGGTTGTAATGTGACAAAATATGGAAAAGTTCAAGGGGTATGAATACTTTTGCAAACCACTGTATATGGCAGTAAACATGATCCCCTCCTTAATTTCTTTTTGATTTTTCACAAATGAACCAATTAAAGTGGGCAAGTCCTGCAATAATTTGTGCTTACAAAGCTGAAATCAGTAGAMGAACCAGAGTGCTGCATGCACCACCTTCCCACTTCACACCTACTCACCAACTTTGCTGTGTGACTACCTTCATTCCTGCTTCAGAGGCGAAACAGCAATGAATCAACATCAACCTCCCACATGTAACACTGATAGGAACAAGGTGTGTCAGGCCTAGTTGTTTAAAAGGAGCTGCTGACTAAGCTGATCCCTAAATTACTGCAGTTGCCATGTACAACTGAAAACTAAAGCTGCAATCATTTTAAACAAATTACAAGACAAGTCTGAAAATATTCTTTCTGATGCTTTTCTGATTCAAGAGCCCCAATTATCACAGGTTTAAGTGAAAAAAGCACTAATCACCTTTTTTTATTTGCTGTAAAGATGAAATATTTTGATAATAAAACTACCAAATTAAAAATCAAGAACAAGGTGACAAGCCCCAAACAGTTTGAGTTTGTAACTTTTTAGATTTTAGTATACATGTGTAACTCCACATACTGTATATACTAAAATCAAATTCATTCCAATGATTACAAGTACTGTATTACAACATAAACCAAAATTGTTAATTCTCATTATTGTTAACAGAGCTATAAAGACAAAAGAGCGAAAGTACAGACATTTCATCTAATCTTGATTTCTTTTTCTATGCCATAATCATAGATTAGTTCTATGGCTATATCTACCTCTTTTTTTCCTGAAAATCCATCCCTCCTTCAAAAAAAAGTAAGTTATTGGGCATTGTTTCTTATTAGACTTAAAATCAAACCCGTCTCAAACATATCTAGGGTTCTTAGTTGTGAACCTGACTCTTTTGTGCCATTAACTCAAAGCAAGAAGTTGCATAGACAGTATAAAATAACATACAAGTAAAGAAAATATGATATTTCTGATAGCCTCACACAGCAGTTTTTCAGGTCAGTGAATGCAGCCAGCTCAAATAACTACTATCCTGTGCACGATTACAGTGACAAGCCTGAGTAAACAGACTCCTAAAAAACTGTGATATTTTTGTTCTCTTTAGTACTTCAACAGTTTCTAATTTGCTAACAAAAACAAAAAACCTAAAGCCTAACYCTCAAAGGATAAAAAGGAGCATTCAAGACTGAAAAAAAATCAGTAAATTATTTTGAGAACATTATACGTAAGGGGTTTCAATAGTCCAACGAACGTCGATAATTTGAAGGGCAGGATAAAAACAGAAATATTTATAAATACTGTGGAAGGCCTAACGACTCTCATTGAAGCCACTCCTGTGAATAACCTGAATAACCTCCATAACTGCAATAGAGCTTTATGGCTATATTTGTGTTTGCTATTATCTGAAACTCATAAAAGTGAATCATAGTGCAGACAAGTATTATTTGCAGATAGGTGTTGTTCATTTTCTTTTGTTAGGGCTGAATCTATTAAGACCCTACAGTCACTGGTGGCTCAGATAAGAAGTCTTCACAAGGCCATAAACACACATTTAGTTTGCAGAGACGGTCTTTGTGTTGCTCGTGCCTTTGTTCACCCACTGTAAGCTGAGGAACTGCAATGTGATGCACATTATCCTTTTGCCTCAAGTAAAAGATTTCTTCTAAAAGGGATACACACCAAATGACTTGTAACAAAATTCGCAAATTTACCTCGGGAGGGGAATTCAGCTCATTTATTCACTATCCCCCCGTTTCCCTTTATCTTTTCTACATTTTGGATCATTTTGATTTTCCGTCTTTGTCATCGTTCAGCATTACAGTTCTGTCAGCTTACCTTCAGGCATGTAAATAAGACAGTTAGCCAGGCCAAAAGAAAAAAAAAAGCTAAAAAGTTAATCCCAAAGGTTTCCCAAAGCTCAGAGTCCCTTGGTAAAAATAACTCACCATTGTGACCAACATCTAGATTATTTAGCAAACCAAGTTATGGTTAAATGATGAGCTTCATGCTAAGCTCTGATTTATTCAACGTTTTTAACAGTTTTATAATTATATTACCACTGCACACTTTTAAAGTCAGTATTAAATTCAGCTACATGTATCCATGAATCATTCTGCGAAGCAATGAAATGACCAAATCATTGGGGAAAACCTGCAAACTGTCATTTTACAGTGACAGATTTTTTAAAAGTAGGGAAACAATCAAAGCAGTTCTCAGYTCTTCCAGGGTTGACGACTGCACGGTGGTGAAGGGGTGATGATTTGGACTTGTTTTTGTAATAACGAAACCTGATCACCTACCAGTCTCTGAGCTGACCATAACCTCTTTCTTTAACAATTTTCTAGAGTTACAAAAATTAGGACATGTAGCAAAACAAATAATCCCAAACACAGCAGAAAATCTACAAGACAATGGCTGGAAAAAAAATCAATGTGACCTAGTTAAAGTTCAGACCTCAACCTGATTAAAACRTTGTGGTCAAATCCTAAATTAAAAAAAAAACAGAAGTAACATAGTAAAAACAATTCAAAGACGAGCGATTGTTCCAATTACTGCTGCATTAAAAAAACTTTAACAGTTTCTTATCAACGAAATGTTGTCTTTTGTCCAAAAATTCCAATTTGGAGAGTTGTTCAAATCACAACTAGCAGAAAATCTACAGAAAACTGCTAATCTTTTTTTTAGCAAATTTAGAAGCTTT